GTCTACCGTGCTTTGGCTCGGGGTTTGTCGATTGTTTGGATTTTTTATTCCTGGCTCCCAAGCACTGTGCTGGACTGCAGCCATCATGCTCCTCACCAAAACCGTATAACCCTCACTTACCCTTTGTGCACCAAAGGAGACAGACTTATTTCATTACTTGGTCGGGGTGGAATACTGGATACAGTTTGATTCTCTACACGTCTTCCTGTTGTCTTACTGGAGGTTAATGTGAAAGGTTGACGACTGGAACCTCTCACCATAAGTCTCCCACCTCTGAAAAAGGCAAATGTACTCCCACGAAACCTCATCTTGTTGACGAACATCCTAATAAAGCACTTGCGGTTTCTGAACACTACATCTTTATCAACTGGATGAAGAAACTCGGATGATCGACAACCCATCCATTGTGCTCTTAAATGTCTCTATGGTGCCACGACCCTGCAGGTAAAATCTCAGTACAAGTACATTTTTTCACAACCACACTTTCTTCATCATCATCATCCGGTATACTAAAGAAACCTATGTTGGCACGCCTATTGTGGGCCTTTCATTTATCGAACTCTTTGGTAATCTATGAAACATCTCTCTCCAATTTTATCAATATTTTCTTGAATTTCTTGGCTAGTTGCATCTAGAATAACCTCGGCAAATTGTTCTCCTCCATATCTCTCTTATCTCATCTTCCAAAGGTGCAGTCCTGTCCTTCAGTTGATTTACTGAACCAGATGGGTCTTTGATGTCAGAGCTAACTTGTTCCCAGTTGCTATTGATCATCTTTAAATAATTCTCTGCCAATTCACCAGAAACTAATTAAACTGTTCATATTCTTTCCACATGAACCTTCCGTATTAAAACAGCAATGAAAACGGCTTCCCACTTCGGGTAGCACAAGAACAACCGAGAGCACTGACCCATACCTGTCGACCATTGAGTATCAGGATGATAAGCTCTCACTACCCCTGGCTGTCCAAAAAGACCGATACCAGCCCTCCTAAGGTCCAACGTGATCCCCATAGCATTGAGATTCAATCAGGGGCGGTGGGATAGCCTAGTGGTTAAAGCGTTCGCTTGTCGCGCCGAAGGTCAGGGTTCGATTCCCCACATGGGTACAATGTGTGAGGCCCATTTCCGGTGTCCCCCGTCGTGATAATGTGGAAACTCACTGAGATTCAATCGCACATGGATAAAGGGACTTTTCATCCTTTGAAACCTCAGTTTATGTCGACTTTCTGGCTCATTGTTTGAATGTGAAGCCAATCCGTCCTCTGTAGGAGGAAAGTTTTAATCCAGAACCTCTCTCAGCACCGTTTGTTTTGTTTTTGTTTGTTGTTTAACGCCAATATTCAGCAATATTCAAGCTGTATGGCGTCAGTCTGTAAATAATCGAGTGTAGACCAGCCAATCTAGTGATCAACAAGATCAGCATCGACCTACGTAACTGGGATACGATGACATGTGTCCACCACTGCCAGCACTAACCACCACTAATCTTACTCACCTCCTTCACATGACCTTGAACTCGCGTCACGGAAAGATTCGCCTTGGCTTAGCATGTTTGAATCGTGTAATTTGAAAATTAAGGTGTATGGTTATCCCTAGTGACCGTATATATCTGTAAAAGTGATATTGTGTGAATTAGAACGAATACAAATCTATTTTTACTTGTGTTTCACAAAGCTCTCACAATCTTTCGCATAAACCCTGTAAAATGTTTGGACTATGGAAGAAACAAATGACAAAAGTAAAAGTGTTTATTTAGGCAGATTGAGTCTGAGAAAGTGTAATCCCAAATATAACATATGTTACAGATTTTATCTTACCTTCATGAAAAATACTTTAATTCCATTGGTCAATCACGCTATAACAAGTTTCCGAGTCACCTCTCCCAGGAGGGTGACAACTGGAAGAAATATTACCCGCTGCCACGGTAAACTCCGCCGAGAAGCTGTATCACTAACAATCGTATGACGTCATAATATACGCATGCAGAGGACAGAGTTCGAAAACCGTTCGATTAGCTGTTTTTGAGTTCACAATGTACTCATTTATTTTACCGATTTTCACTGCTTTATTTAAACTATTTTATACATTGAATCGTTTCTTTATAGCAGTTTTAAGCTTTTAAGAATATGTTTAACTGATTTAAAAAATCCAGCCGAGAGGGAGGCGCCATTTTGTTTACATGTGATATAGTGGGTAGCGAGCTTTTTGATCATCAAAATAAAATAAAATGATATTTTGTACATTTAACATGGCGGTAAGATAAATACGTTGTAAACTTCTCCCTCGGGTAATACGGTCTGATGTATGCTTTTTTGTAGGCGGTAGGCGAGGGATGACACTGCTACAAAGAGGCGTACACCAAACCGTATTATCCTTGAGAGAAGCATACGATGTATAGAGTAGTAAGAAGTTATCATATAAGATAAAGATATTATTATTACTATTTCTGTATTGTCACATAAAGCACTCATGGGATGCCAATCAGTGTCGACTTAATTGGCTTAAAGAGGCAATTATCCGAAAATATTACACCAGGGAAACTATTCCGGTTCAGAAACTTACGTCCATCCAAGTTCACAGCTTCAGGAGGGTGACCATATTACTTCGGTTTACATTCGAATATCGACAGAAACAAAGTAATATTTTGTCGGTCACTGCAGCTGAAAACGCATACATATTTTTCTGTGATAGGAGAAACCGAAAGTTTAAAAAATGACCTTTTCAAAACAGTCAGCCGATTAGTTTTGTTTGAAAAACTAATTTTACAAGGAACAAAGGATTCAAACGAATCCCGGGTCCAATCTCTAAGAATATCAAAAAGTAGATCCCCATTAGTACGTGAGTTTATGACCACGTCGGCAATATTTTAACCATATTGTGACTTGATCAAGTTATACAGTTCTACTATAATTACATACCCTCTTCAAAAAAAGAAACGCATAGGTGAGTTTGAGAATATTGACAAAAGCAATACAAATATACTATTTCTTTCCAAAACGTAATCTCTGTGTGATTGTAAACTGCTTCAGCGCCAAAACGCGGCAATTCTAACTTTTCCCTTGTTTTAGAAGCGTTTGACGAAATATTCGCCAAAACGTCACCAAGTAAACATGCAAAGCATAAAGCACGTGCAAGTAATGGGGAAAAGCATGCGGTATCGATCACTATAAAAGAGAAAACGTGTTTAATTTTGTCATTCTTTTTTGCCTGGAAAAGAGGAAATCATCATGCCACGACTGAGTACCGCCAATTGAAACATCGCCATAGGCCGCCTTGAAGCTGGGGAGTCGCAGTCTGCAGTTGCCCGATCTTTCAACGTTCATTAGAGCACCATATCTCGCCTTTGGGATCGTTTTCTGTAGACCAATTCCGCCCAAGATCGCCCGAGAAGCGGCCGTCCAAGAGTTACCACCCAAGCCCAGGACCGCTACATCCAGGTTGCTCACTTGCGTCAACGTCTTGCCACAGCGCATCCCTGGTTTGAGAAGAATTTCAGATCAAACTGTCAGGAATCGTTTGCATGAAGTGGGGATTCGACCAAGAAGGCCAGTTTTTGCCCCTGTGTTGAGAGACTTCCATCGGCGCAATCGCTTGCGGTGATGTCGTAGAGTTAGGAACTGGAACCTTAGAAACTGGAGGCGTGTCTGGTTCAATGATGAATAACGATTTCGTCTTAAAAGGCGAGATGGAAGATATGAAGAAATGATCGTTTTGCCCCTAAATGCATTCGAAAGGTCGACAGATTCGATGGAGACAGTGTCATGGTTTGGGGTACAATATCCAGCACACAAAGATATGATCTAGTGGTGGTTCAAGGGAATTTGGCACAAAATCGGTACATCAACGAAATTCTTGCACGTCACATGCTTCCGATTATGGACCGACAGAGGGAGTTGTTCCAGCATGACAACGCTACTTCACATTCAGCACGCGTCACGGTCCGTTAGCTTGCCAATTCCAACGTTAATGTCTAGCCATGGCCTTCCCAATCACCAGATCAAAAGACGCATCAGACACTTCCACAACTGGATATCGCATTGCAGGAAGAATGTAAAAGAATTCCGCAAGAGCGACTTCGTCGGCTTATCCAATCTGTGCCGAGCAGTAATTGCTGCCAGTGGTGGCCATACAAAGTACTGACTTTGACGCCAGTCTTGTGGACAGAAACACACCAATAAAGGTTGCTGTTTTGTTGGCGAACTCCTTTTCTGAATTTTCACTATTTTACCATTGAAATTAAATGAAATAATTGATGTTAAACTAACGCAATAAATTCGTCTAAAATGGCTTATGCGTTTCTTATTTGGAAGAGAGAAAATAACTAGCAATACGTCGTACTGAACATTCCATAAGTGTGTGGACATTTGCACTCTATAAGTGACACTATTATTATTATGTGAAAGAATTGTTTTAAACTAATTTAGGAAAATTACAACATTTTTACTAGGTGGTGATACAAAGGGACCAGTCAGTAACGAAGGTAAGGTCACCATACTTGGGATCAGGAGAACTTACGGTGCCTCTGCTATTTAAAAGGCAGGCTCCTTCTAAGGCAAGACTACCCATGCAACAAGTTAATGTACCAGGCGACCATCACCTCTCCTGCAGTATATCTTCTAAAGTCTCTAAAACAAACAAAACATTAACTCACGCCTATGTCCAACGTGGCCATGTCCAGTTTATCTAGGACGAGGTCACTTCATCTGGAATCTTATCACAACCTCATAGATAAAAACGCCTCTGAAAATAGAAAACAAGGGGTAGCAATGTACATGTATCCCTCGCCCCCATACGATATAGAGGACATAGGCCAACATGTCGTAGAAACATTGAAAATTATCGTCAAAGCTTCATTACCAGTAGGCGTTGTTTTTCTCTTCAACGCCTCGGCGTGAGAGCGTCCGTCTGCAATCGTAGGCTGTGCAGTACTGAGGGCGGACAGATAAGATAGGAGGTGTTCTATATAAGCCAGGCACCAATACTTGACGCCAGTTCCGGGCACAGCGGCAAGCCAGGTGCGACAATAACGAATAGATAACAGCCGAGACAAGAAGAGAACACAGGACCAAGTCCTTAAACAGCAGCAAGAGAGAGTAGGTTGCAAATCATTGAAACTGTTAAATAAGAGACACTGTGAAAAGCACATTGTCAAGACTATTTACGTTAGTTTTGTTCAACATGAGGCAAGTGAATTTAGATTATGTTAATTATAAACGAAAGCTTTAGAACTAAACAATTAATTGTTCTATTTCTTCAGCTTGGATATGCCTATAATCATTTGGCAACCTAATATCAGTTTGAAATACGTGAAGTATATCACTGTCAATTTTTAATTGTCCCTTAAGACTGGAGCTTAGAATATATGAAATATTTGTGTTTTAATCTTTGCATGTCCCTTTTTGTTCAATCACTCGTTTTTGACGTATTTCTGTCAAACTATAATACTGTGTAGCAATCAGTGTTAAACCTTGGTCAACTGTGTTCTTCATAGAGGCGACCACTACCTGGAACTCAACCATGTGGAAACTACTGCTACTGACACTAATCAGCGTTGTAAACGCTAAAAAGTAAGTAGTTAAGACACTTTACTGCAAGGTATTGACTTATGTAAGTCTTCTTTTGGTGTTTCTTAGATCATAAATCGGAAACGTATTTGGGAAAATCGAAATTGGCAGATTTGTATTCTAGTATAATAATATAAGTATAATAATATACATGCGATTTTTCCCGATTTTGAAACACCAAAGCCGTTTACTCACTTATATGGCTTGGGTTAAGAAGGGCACATACTGGAACTAGAAATTATATAACTAGAAATTATTAACTGTCTAGTTAAATATTTCTTATGTACTGTAGACATGATGTATTTAATTAATTATGGAAAGAGTTATATCACTATTACTCAAACAGATGACTGTAACTACTTTATTTCGGGGGTAATTGTACATTTTTGTCATGTCAACCCTGACTCGTGACAACTACTGTTTTGAAACGTTAAAATATGAACTCCAGTATGTAAAGAATCGAAATCAGTTCATTCATTTTGTAATCTCTCTCTTTTGCAGCTCCTTTCTGATCCTTGCCCCGAAGACCATCAGCCCCTCGACAACCCTGCGTCTGGGGGTCAACTCCCTAAACGCCACCCAGGACCTGACTGTAACAGCACGTGTACAGACACAAGAGTGGAGTAACTACCCCTACTACCACTATGAACAAATCTACGTCGACCATGCTAACACATCGGACAGTGTTATGGCAGGTAGGTCATGGCCATTGTACCATAAAAGTAGCCGACGGATATTATATGAACCCGAACTGCCATTAGTTTTGTACACGTGTGGTGGGTCATGAAACCAGTTTAAACCATTAAACCTGGTTTGTTTCGAATGGTTTTAACACAAATGTAAAAAAATACTTCGTTTGTACAGAGATTATGTTTCTAGATCAAGTGCGTTGCTCTGTTAAATGGCGATCTCAATCATTTGTTATGACACGTTCAAACACACCTGGTGATAATATGAAATAAGTCTTATTGTCTTTACAATTTGCATTTTTCAGGAGACGCCGGCGTCGTGGAACTGAAGGTAAATTGAGATAGTGTTTTGTCATCAAACAAACCTGCAAAATAGCCCGAAAACCCCTTTCTATAAGCACAAGGGTGCGGTTGGGTAGCCCTGTTGCCACTCGCTCACCGTAAGCACAAGCAATTGCCGCTGAAAGAAGTGAAAATCGTTTGACTTTATTTGTGTTCATGAACAATCATTTTCCGGGCTAAATCATTCAAGGTCTCAATAAAACCTTTCAAATGTTTAAAATTGGACTTATGGATGGCATTTCCAAATTTGACCCACCTTGACCAAAATGGCGGTATAAGTCCGATGACACTTGTCGTCTGATGATACGCTCCTGTGGTTTTTCAGGGAAACACTTGCCCTGAGTGCCTTTTGCGAACACCAGGTGTCATGAATATTGTTATCGATTAAGAAATACGTGCTTGTGACACAGTCGGGAGGTACAAAGGACTGTTTACAGTATCTATCTTGTCAATCAGGTTTCGCTGTTGATCACTGATTCGGGTACATAAGGATGCTAATGAGCATTGAGTTACATATAATCATAAAAATTTAGAAACAAGTAATGACTTTATATCTTCAGATTGTATAGAGAAATACAATAACAAGTTTTCAATATCCCTTTTGAATTAAATTTAAAATACTCACCCCAAAATGTCCCATAAAATCAGGAAAACGTTCTTTATGTGCCCCAGTCCATCCGACAATAATAAGACAAACACCCTTTCATTTGTGTTTCAAATACATTTAATCTTCCATCAACACTCAACGACTACTGTGTGTTCATGCACCAATGCCATGTGTATATCCCACAGGTCCCACAACATCTGAAGCCTGACAACTACATCCTCAAGGTTCAGGTGGAGACCACCTCTGGAGAGGAACACGTCAAAAGCTACAACCTGCAGTACTACAGCAAATACCTGTCCACATTTATCCAGACAGACAAGGCCATGTACAAACCCGGATCGCTGGGTGAGTGGCACATATACGCAAATATATTCCAAGTTTTTCAAATTAATTTCTTCTCCAATCATCAGTTGAGTACTCTTGAAGTCTCTTTACGCAACAATCTATTGAAAAAGAATCAGTGAGGTACCATCTCTGTTACAAGACTTTGCATGTATTTACTTCCTATGTTGCAGTCAACTTCCGTGCATTCGCCGTGTACTCTGACCTCCTTACCTATACCGGAAACATGACAATCGAGATGTTTGTAAGTTTGTTATACCCTGCCTCAAACACACATACGTATTTAATTTATTTTCGTAATCATATTATTATGAATCTAGCCATCTGCTAACAGAGAAGTTTTCTTGGAACATACTGGAGATTTTTTATATTGGAGGTGATTTAGAAATGAGTCTGTAAATGTATCAGTCCTTGTATCATTGAAAGGAGGCATAAAGATGAAGTTTTCCTGACCACTAAAACACCTTATATAAGTGAGTGAGTGAGTGAGTGCGTGAGTGAGTTTAGTCTTACGCCACTTTTAGCAATATTCCAGCAATATCAAGGCGGGGGACAGCATAAATGGGCTTCACACATTGTACCCATGTGGGACTCCTTATATATCACTCCTTATATTGCAGGACCCCAGCAATAACAAGCTGATGCTGATGAAGGAAGTGATAGACCCGTCTGGTGTCGTCACTCGGTCCTTCAAACTCAGCGCCATGCCCATCCTCGGACATTGGAAGATCAGGGTGTCCATTCCCGATGTGAGGAAGATGCCAAACATATGATTGCTTTTCTCGGGTTAAATGTGACCATTAGCTCTTATGTCAACCAATCCCTGAATCAAATTTATTCTATCATTGTTGTTTTGTGGATAAATTGTAATAACATATCTATGATATGATACCAGAACAGCGATCATTTATAGAATGCCAAAGTCAGAGAATAATCAGTCTCATGACAAAACAGATTTCATACTGCATAAAAGGCAAAATAGTGGTGGAAATTATATGAATGACAATCGGCATTTTAAAATATATTACCGTAAATAACCATGTCACTAAAGAACAGTGTTACAAATGTACTTTACTTTCACAGGGACCGACAGAAGAAAAAACGTTTGAGGTGTCAAACTACAGTAAGTGGAACCCATAATATTAACTCGACATGTACAAACACATACAGAAAGTCTTTATCAAGAAATCATACAAATAAATTGTTCTTAGAATGTGTAAACTGTTTTAACAGCTCTGATTTTATGGGAAATAGTTTGTGGTATCGGTAAATACAGTTGTTCAATTTAATTTACGATCCGCGCTTTTATTTTTATCCAGAACTGCCACGATTCGAAGTAACAGTCGATGTTCCAAGTTTTGCTCTAGTAACAGATCGAGATATCAAGGGCAAAGTTAGTGCCAAGTAAGTGAATCGTAAAGAGTTCATGTGCAATTGTCAAACGATTTCTTTTCATAAATGATATAAAACTCTGAGACCAGATTTCACTTGATTCCCTGAAAGACTAAATTATTCATTATTTTCAACAACTATTTGGTTCAAAAGCTATATTCGTTATTGTTCTTAAATAGCTATATTTCTTACTTGGTGTCCAATTGAGAAATAGAAGTCATTTGTTCTGTGCAGGTATACATTCGGCGAGGGAGTGAAAGGTGTTGCAGAAATACATGCTAAGATTGTTGGATCTTATTCTGGATCTTGTTCTTCTGAGCAGCCCGCCATCCTCATGTCCTTCCCGGTATGTACACACTTAAGGTTCTACAGCCACAGCTCATACGCTGTGTGAACATTTTGTGTTTAATAGGCATTTATATATCGTGAGTTTCTAAGTAAAGATTCCTTTTGGATACAGTATTATTTTCAAGTATCTTCCAACATTTACTTCCTATGCTTATGTCTGAAAGGAAAACTAAGATATATCAATGCAGGTATTTTGACTGTTTTGTGAGATTAAAATATATATGTAGAGAATTTACTATTTTCCCTGATTAACCACCTCCCAATGGATCCAACAAGAAGAAATTATGATGCTGTGAATAACATATCTGATACTATACGGTTCCTTTTCTCACAATTATCCAACGTAAAATATAACTACACCAGAATGTTCCCAGAGGAGATTCTGGCTTCTTACAGACGGCTCCCCAAAGCTTCCTTTTAACACTCGCCAAATGTAGAAATTGCTGAGTCAGACCTTGTGAAGCATCTGATTCTCCTATCAATTAATGATTTGGAGATTATCGCTTTGGAAATTGAAATTTTTGAATTAATTTTGAATTATCAGCCTTTTGCTATTGGGCTTAATGTCCAGAGTTTGTTATTGCGCAATCAACTTTAGCGCTATGGGTTCCTTGGTGATTTTTTGGAGGCGATTCTGACCACTGGTTTAGGAGCTATGTTTGGTACAAAATACGGCGGAATAATAAATAGTAACGATTACAATAGGTCTCCTGCCTGGAGGCAAGGAGCCCTAATTAATGACTTGCCACTATATTCATTGAACAAAGCTTGAATAGAGCTTACTGCGGCGTTAACTAGACATGTCATTATTCAAGATGAAATAGCCGAAATAACAGCTCCAAATTATAGCTCAGATATATATTCCGTACAGCTTGATGGGGAAAGTAAGTTCACGGTCCCAATGGTGGAGGTTCAACACCTCAGCTCCTACCTCAATGGTAAGCAGCTGGAGATCCAGGCATTTGTGACTGAGACTCTGACAGGCAAGAAACTAAACGGTTCGTCGGTCACCACCTTCTACAGCAATGCCATCAAGATGAAATACCTCGACTACAGTGCTCGTGATTTCAAGCCTGGCCTTATCTACAGTGGCACGGTAAAAAACATTGTGACATCCATATGAATGCATCCCAATATTTATTTTCTGTTATGAACTTCTATTAGAACAAACGTTGTAGCCTGGTGCTTAACTTTGATGTATTTGCATTAAGCATCTTTGTGCTCAACACGCCTCGTAACTTCTGCCTCCAATGACATCTGAAAATGTTTTGCATTTTGCTGACAATACAAGACAAATCGTATGGATAACAACTTCTTTATTTCTTTCTCACGACGTTTCTGGGCTAGTTCTTGTCCTACAAAAAAAGCTGTTATCTATGAGATTTGTCTTGTATTACTACACCAATTTCTAAATGCCTTTGAAGAACTGCATGTGACATTTACTGAATTGTCAGGTATACAGTTTGACTGTTTTGAAAAAAAAAATAAAGTTTGCTTACACAAATGGAACTGCTATGTCGAAATTTAATACAATTAACGTTTTATTTCATTAAATTTCAGATGAAAATCTCCCTGCAAGACGATTTGCCCCTGCCTACACCCAGAAAGAATGTGACCATCTACCCATGTGTGACGTACCGCATCAAAGTCCCGAACCAGGAGAAGTACCATAGCTGCGACTCCAACTTCCAGGGGACCTATGGTATTACCGAAGAGACATTCCCAGTTCCTGCTGATGGTCTTGTAGATGTCAAACTTATGATACCAGAGGATGCAGTCTCGGTTACTATCACGGTGAGCAGTGCTGGTGATAATTTAAGAATGTGATGAGATTGTCAATTAAGTTTCTAAAGCTGTTTTGTTTTAACAACAGACGTGATACTCAAACAATCCATTCTCCTTGACGCACAACTTTCAGGGTGGTGAATGAAAATTAAGAGAGGTTTGTGGGATTTCTTAAGATTACTTAGGGACCGACTACTTCGTATTGGGAACAACGCAGTTGGGATTTTTTGCGACTAGGTATGGTTTTACTTAGATCAACAAAATCAAATATTAGTTTTTAATATAGACTATTATACTATAAAAAAGATCCAACAATGTGTGTTTGGTGTCTGACAATTTCATTTTTGTAAAGTCAGAAGTACAGTTTTTGTGGGATAATTAACGTTTCTTCCCTCACTCCCTCTGCCCAGAAGTTGCAGCCTACTGCAGCCTTCTTTAGCGACTAAACAGTAATAGCCAAGGGTTTCAAGACAAAAACATATTCCATTTATCCGAGGTGTATTTCCCGCGTTTGTTGGCTGTATGTCACTGACACCTTTAACTGTGGCCATAATTTATTCCCCAAATATATTTTATGTAATATATTTCAATAGTTAACCGACACGACATTGTGTTTTGACGCATATTGATGGTTATAATCAAGGCTTCACATGATAACCAGAAGAAAACAATCATTTTGGTTTCGATGCTTACAATTCTCTATGCGTTTTACAGGCCTTCTATGGTGAAACATCGATTTCATGGACGATAAAGAAAGCCTACTCCCCATCAGATTCCTTCCTCCAGCTCTACATCCACGACACCAACGTCACGGTAAATAATATTTATTTTACAGTATGTATTTGGAAGACATAATTAATGAAAATTACTTCCATGCTGATAAGCGTATACTATATCACCGATCATTCTGTTAGTCCAACTATATAATCTGCTATTCGTAAAATAGTTTTATTTTTATATATGAACATTCAAAATATTTAAACACACATTTTATGTTTCGTTTCTAATGGGTATTCATAATGTTTGTAATTTCCGTTCTGAATACACTTGTCCCTGTTGTATTTGCAGGCGGGCGAAGATTCCAATATCTTTATAAATTCCACCCGGCCACTCGACACAGTGTGGTATGAGGTAAATAGATCCAATCTCCAATGTCCAAAGTTGCTCACAATTTCAGAATGGGTTAATCAAATGTTTAACGCCAGTCCATAATTGTAATGTAATTAGTGTTGTTTTCATAAATGATATTATATGGTAATCAAAGTGGTTTTTGATGACTGATATGTTGACGACATTACAATATGAAGTTAGTATTAATGTAATCAAGTCTAACTCTCACAAATAATTGAACTGCCACATATAATTTGTATTCTCCTATTGTCAATCTGGAACATCCACCCCCCAAAAAACCCCAACAAAACAAAACAACAACAAACAAACAAATGAACAAAAATACACAAACAAACTAAATGAAAACAAGAAAACTTTCTGGATTAGTTGACAGTGTTCATGGGTCACCTTCCTACACATATGTTCAATCTGCTTTGCAAAGGTCATCTCTCGTGGGTCCTTTGTTACTGCCGGACATGTCGATGGTGGAATGAAGAAGAGCCTGAACCTAACTCTTCCAATCACTCCCAAGATGGCGCCTCATGCTCGCGTCCTTGTCTACTCCGTCCTTGATGATGGCGAGGTTATTGCAGACAGCACAAACTTTGAAGTGAAAGGTCTTTTTACCAACAAGGTAATGACTACAACAGAAGGCTAATTAAATTAGATATACATAAACCTTTCGCGTTGACTTGGGTGCAACAGCGATTTTTCGTTGATCCATTTGTAAGCTCCAAGCCTTGATTTCGAGCTGGGATAGGACATTTCTTATAGTACCCTCAGTCTATTTTATTTTTCTGAGATAATACGAAATGCGAATTCTTAAATCTGAAATGGAGACATCAAATCTAACGTTTGAACGACGTGACAAAACATTGTCTATAGGGTCATGAATGGTGGAAGCTTCTGCCACAATCAGTAAAAATGACGCCCCGTTGCTTTGGACCCCTTCACAAAGAATGCCAACAATGAAATAATTGTTATAATGTCCCGAAAGAATATATCAAAGAATGTTATTTGTTTGGTGTAGAGTACACACATAAAACACACCATTATGAAGGGCTAACCTTGTAGTATTTGTTGACGACAAGAAGTTGTTCACAACAACGTATGGTATGGATTTACAACTTCTTTATTATGTTGAGGTTCATGAGGCGTACAGATTCATCTCCATGTAGATGGCGGATCAGATGCTTGATGGGCATTTAGAAGTTGAAGAAGTTGTTATTGAACAACACATACAAAATAAATATTCCGTTTGTTATATGAATAGTGCATTATAACGCATTTGTGCCATGACACATATATAACAAATTTCATTGTATTTCCAGGTGGCACTCGAGTTCAGCAAGAACGAATCTCAGCCCCATGAAGACATTAATGTCAAGGTTTCAGCTGACCCACAGTCATTGGTCAGCTTGCTAGTTGTTGACCAATCAGTGACTCTCTTGGCCAGCGGAAATGACATCACGAGTGATATGGTTTGTATACCAATAATATATATCACACTTATCACAAAGCAAACGTAACCGCAGCTTCATGTACAGATTACATCCAAGGAAGCATAACAATCATTTCATTATTGAATCACTGTCATTGACGATCTTATACAATACTTGTGTCTCTTAAAAGGTGGAGACTGAACTGAAGTACTATGACAACCGCGGAGTTAGCAACAACTATGAAGGAGAGACAGATGCAAGTCAGGTGTTCAGGGTAGGTTTTACATTGTTTCAGGCTTGATATCTGCACACACATATTGTGTAACTTGATATCTGCACACACATAATGTGTAACTTGATATCTGCACACACATATTGTGTAACTTGATATCTGCACACACATATTGTGTAACTTGATATCTGCACACACAAAATGTGTAACTTGATATCTGCACACACATGTGTAACTTGATATCTGCACACACATAATGTGTAACTTGATATCTGCACACACATAATGTGCTATGTAATGAGTTCCACATGTAGCTTGACACTTTCCTGGTGATATATAACCGGGTTTTAGGTTGCAGTGAGCAGTCACATTTTAATACTTACATACTAGTTTTAGACCTTTATCTGTGATCATTTAGTTATTTTACTGTCCTTGGTTGACGGGTTTTAGTTTGAAATGTATTGCTTGAAATCATATAACTTGATCAAGTCACAATAAGGCTGAAATACTGCCGATGTGACTTAAATCAAACTTACTCACTTTTCCAAAGAAATTATTTGTTGGAGAAGATGATGGAAGAAGAATGTGTGGCGGTAGTAATTATATCAACAAATATTCTCCACCGACATCGTTTCCACATGAATGCACACGCTGACATATTTCTAATAGTTTTCCAAATGAATTAAGGTGTTACAGCCTCATAACTAGAAATTGAAAATGCAATGTTCACCATATTCCTATTCACTATCGTTACAGGATGCCAATGTTGCAATCTACACTGATGCCACCATCCCATACAATCCCAGCGGCATTGATTACGGCCATGGATCTGGTATGGAAAATACCAAAGCAAAAAATACCATTAACATTGTAGTTGCAGAAGATTTACAAACATAAACTACATTCACATTCAGATTACAGGTAGACAAATAACAGGAAGCTGCACGAATTTTAAGTATGACTGAATCAAATTGAATTCGAATTTCCAAAAATGAAGTCCATGCTCCTGTTATTCTTTCTGGAGGGATCTAGTCGGATAGCTTCAATTCATTTACAAACAGCAGTTTTTCTGCGCACCTGATGATGTTTTCAAGCTGTGGATTATAATTGATTTACAATCATTTCCCTTTCAACAATCATTCTTCAATTCTCATAGTTCATAGTCTACTGGGATCTAATGTTTTTAAGTTCAGTGCCTACCAATGACTGTCATTCTAACACTGGATGTTGCAAATTTCATAGTGGTCGCAATTTAAAATCATTTTTTTCTATGAGAGACGGAGGGGTAGCCTAATGGTGAATACGTTTGCCCGTAAGGTCGGGGTTCAATTCCTCATATGGGTACAATGTATAAGCCATTTTCTGTGAATTTGCTGTGATTCTGTGATTTTAAAACATACTCCTTTTTTCTTTTCAGTGTCCACTCCTGGCTATCATTATAACACGTTTGCACCTATCGGCTACACACCCATGCCGGGTGCAACACCCTACATGGGTCCGACGCCTTACCCGAATGGCTTCCTGAACGGCATGCCAATCCCAACAGCTCTTCCCGCGATGCACCATATGACCAGCGTGAACCCAAAGCCATCCGGAGTCATCAACCCTCAGCAACCATTGAAGGAAGTGGGAAGAGTAAGGAACTTCTTCCCTGAAACATGGCTATGGACCAACACGACCATTGGGTAAGATATGTTTCTAAATCTGACCATCTTGCTCGAAACACACATAAGATACATATGTAAAAATGAAACATGTTTACAAGTATCTGTGAAAAACAAACTTTATAGTGGAAGGCACTGTATGAATGTAAATACCGTGGAGGTCCGGATTAGAATTGGTCTTCAACATTCCATGCTTGTTGTAAGTGGCGACTAACGGGATTGGGTGGTCAGGTTCGCTGACTTGGTCGATGTATGACGTATCCCAAACATACAGATCAATGCTCATTATGTCAATCACTGGGTTGTCTGGTGCAGACTCGATTATATACAGTCATCATTATATACAGTAATCATTATCTACGTCATATTGCTGACGCGGCAGTAAAAACAAACACTCTAAGTATATATGTCAATTCGTTGTGGAATGCAACTTCTGATACACTGAATTGAGTGTGAGTGAGTGAGTTAAAATTTATCGTCACATCGGCAATATTTCAGCCATATCGTGACGAGAACAATTTATTGGTATACATATTAATTAATGGTAAATTATAAATAAACTGTCAACGAAGGACAGTAAAATAATTAGATTATCACAGAGATGAATTTAAAACTAGTAATTAAATCTAAAACATTTAAACTATAAATGACAATACAATATAAAAACAGGCTAGGATTGCCAACGACTGAAGGTAGATCACTATACTAGAGACAATGGGGAACTACAGTATAGTTGCTTCCTGCATGGGCCCTAGCTTGATTTACATCATCCCTTCAGCCGCTAGCAATTGAGACAAATCTAGCCATATATTCAAATCGCACAAATTATACGATTAAAAAAGTCGAAAGTTTAATTTAACTTGAATGTTATGGGACTTACGTACCCTCTCAGGAGGACAATAATTTTACAGTACTTTAACCCCCTTTGAGGATACAGCCACTAACAATCTGAGTTATTAATTCAAACTTCCAATCATAAAAGATTTATCTATTTACAAGTTGCTTAACAAATCTATTTCTTATAAAAATGCAAGAATTTAATGAAAACTGATCTTAAAGATCCTTCATAGTTCGTGATTTTAAATAGTTATCCCTTGTGATGGAATATTCAACACAGTCAAGCAAGACATGCCACTGAATTGATATGATACGATCCAGCCAACAGTTTCATCAACATACAAAAATATAAAGTAAACAGTTATGAACTGCAAGGGCCGCTAAATTTACTTTTAACCGTAGTTCGCTTCGACTTAAACATATAGCAAGTGGACGGTACTAAACACCTTAGCTTCTCACATCCGACAGTTCGTGTTCGTTATAGTGAGTGAGTGAGTGCTGTTTTACGCCGCTTTTAGCAATATTCCAGCAATATCGCGGCGGGGGACACCAGAAATGGCCTTCACACATTGTACCCTTTTGGGAATCGAACCCGTGTCTGTAGCGAACGCAATAACGACTAGGCTACCCCACCACCGCGTGTTCGTTATAAACGCGGTTTAAACTGATGTTGAAGAATTCGTTCCTCATTGACATTGCGCATCTTTCCCTCAGTTCCAATGGCATTGCAAGCATATCTGCAACTGTCCCCGACACCATAACGTCATGGTTGGCTACAGCATTCGCAGTTAACCCAGTGTCCGGGCTCGGAGTAACAGACTCCGCATCCAAGGTAGATACTGCAAAACATAAAAGAAATCTTTGTTTCAATCACATTTAAATAATTTTTGTATATTTTTGCAAGAATGTAAATTTTATTTCCTATTTTAGCAAACCGCAATTGGTTTACATTTTTACATTTAGAGACAATTTTGACTATTGGAATGTTTTATGTTAAGGCAACCAATTGAAATAGTATCTTATATTTATATGTGTAACATGTTTTGTTTTTCAGATGAAGGTTTTCCGTCCATTTTTTGTGAGCGTTGATGTCCCAATGTCTGTTATCCGTGGTGAGCAAGTTGTGGTTCAGGCCAGCGTCTTCAACTATCTGCAGACTGATCTCGATGTGAGTCCCACAATTCTGAGTGAGTGAATGAGTAAAAATTAATAGTCACATTGGCAATACTTCAGCCATATCGTCACTTAAAAGTTATAAATTCATAATAGACACAATTAAATTGTAAAAACCTGCCAACAAAGGGCAGTAAAATAACTATATTATCACAGAAAGAGAATTAAAGCTAGCATGTAACTGTAAAATGCGAAAACTGTTATGGACAATACAATCTAAAAACGGCCTGGAGATCACCAGCGACTGAAGGTACGTCACCATACTAGGGACCGTGGGGACTATGATTTTGAAAATACAGAAAATCTAATTCCAGTTACGTGATTTCCCGACAATATAACCGTAATATATCTCCACTGTATTCTCTCGACTATGCCATGTGCGATCACTATCGAATACCCTGCCCCATTGATAGCACCCGTCACGGTGTCGTGCCGGGAAGGCTAAAATTTATTTTTCAGATGTCCCGGGAAGGCTAAAATGTATACATGTATTTCGGATTTCCCTGGAGAGCTAATTTCCAAGGGAGTAGGGGAGTACCGCCAAAGATAAAGATACGGTGTCAGGAAGCATAAGCCATGTCGGAAATAGATAGATTTCTTTTCAAAACATTGTTATAGTAGAGTGTTTAGCTTCTTCGCTTGTTTACAACTTTATTTAAGTGGCGTTTGTATTTCAGATGTATTTAATTATCAATAATTGCAAATATGTATTTCGAAAAAATCGAAAGTTGGAATAAGAGGTTGTAAGTAGCATGGTGCAAAGGTCACGTATTTGTAAACTACGTTTATGAATTTTTAACATCCAATTCAATAATTTGTCAGAGCCTCCCAGCGAGGCGCGCCGTGTTCATTCAGCCATATCATTGCATTGCAAGTACCGCGAAGGCTACGCTCACTGAACCGAGAAGCGTCACGACTTTAGCCTTCCCGGCCATGAACCCCCGTCAAATACAAAGACAAAATCAAACTCACATGCCACAGTTCAACGTGGTCATAAAGTTGGTCAAATGTTCTCCTCATGTCCGCCATAAAACGTTTTTAGCTTCAAACAGAGCTTTGAATGTTGTAACCTTAATCAAACAACTTTTGAAAGAGTGTTTCATGCTACACTTTGCAATTTTTGTTGAAAAAGATTGTCAATTGTATCTAAAAAAATTCATGTACAAACCAAAGGCCGGAGCTGCTGAAATATTGCTCAACTATTGACACTATTAGAAAGTTGAGGTCATCCCTCTTTCATAGAGTGTTGTGTGGATACCTTTTGTAACTTTGAAGCTTTGTTGCCAGGTCTTGATTCTGGTTCAGATGGATACTCAGTAGACGGAAATGTGGTATTTGGCAATAATTGAACGATATCAGATCAACGAGTGAAATGTAAAGTGATGTATTTTCTGTTTCTTTGAACTGCACTCTTTCCAGACGTAGTCCTGTTGAAGTGAACCCAACCCACAAAGTCAGTGAACTGATTATATATTTTGATAGTTATAGTACCTGTTTTCTGTAACTCTGTAAGAAACCCTATACCTGAATTATTCCTACTAGGTAATGGTGACAATGAAGAAGTCCAGCGAGTATGACAACATCCAGTATGATCCGTCCACTGCAAGTCTCAAGGCATTCTCTGCAGACCAAGTCAAAACAGTTCGCGTGAGTACATCCTTGCACTGCTACTTTCTTACTTCCCTTTATGAAATATTCTCTTTAAATCTCAGTATAGATCATGTTATCATATGGAACTTAATCGGTCCATTTGTCTTGCCATTAAGAAACTTTTGTATTGCTGGATAGTTCTATTGCATTTGTAAGAGTATGACGTCCTTCAGGTTGCCTCTGGTGATGCAATGACTGTGGACTTTCCCATCGTCCCTACCACCCTGGGACAACTTGACATCCAGGTGTCTGCCCGTTCTACTGCTGCTGCTGATGCCGTTCAGAGAAAGATCACAGTGGAGGTGCGTGTCGTATGCAATAGACGATTATTGATGTCATTTGCAAATTCTCTTTGTTCTTCCCTGTAGTCTCTGTTGTTCTACAGAGAAGATCGGGTTAGAATTGATCTTCAGTAACCCATGCTTGTCGTAACAGACGACTAACGGGATCGGGTGGTCAGGTTCGCAGACTTGGTTGATACCAAGTTGCGTATATTGATGCTCAGGCTGTTAATCACTGGATTATCTGTTCCAGAGTTGATTATTTACAGACCGCCGCCATATAGCTGGAATATTGCGGAGTGCGGCGTAAAACTAAACACACTCACTCTTCCCTGTAGTGGGCACTGTATCTATGTTACCGTGTTTCAAAATACGTGCATATTGGTTTATCTCATTGTTATTCGAGCTGGTATGTTTCATGCTACGGTCTTTATTAAGCTGTATCATGGCGGTGACAGACCAGTGGTGATTGGTGGATTGAACAACGATCCACATCATTACGGGAGAATGGAATCCATAAAATCACTCATCTTGACAATGTAAAAGTTCCAGGTGGCTCTTAGGATGGGTTGCAGGGATTCTTCCTCAGGACCGTAATGGAGTCGATGCTTGTCCATCTCATAAACTCCAATTATTAGACCACATTAACAAATACTCCTTACCATCATTCACGTATTTTAATCCCATTTAGCCGGAAGGTATCAGAAAGGAGACTAACTTCCCTGTCACCATCGATCTCCTGTCTGGCAACACCTACAACAAAACTCTGTCCATCCCTCTGCCAAACTACATCGTAAAAGACTCACAGAAAGCAAGAGTCAGGGCTTTTGGTAAGTGTGTTTCTCTCACATACTGATCCCATTCTTTTTCTTGATGTGTATAAAACGGAGGGATTTTTATACGATTTTGTTTTAAAGGTTTGAACTATTGAAGGACTGCTAAATGGTGACGTTTATCTTTTATTCATTGCAAACGTGAATTTCCAAACTTCATAACGGCAACTGCAAAATCCTATACAAGGAGAACATCGAGAGATAACATCGAGAACATCGAGAGATAACATGAATTTTCCCTTATCGCTCACAAGTGATGGACACCTCATTTATCACTTTACATGGTATCAATGTGTACTGTATGTTAAAGGCGACGTGGTGAGTCCCAGCCTCGATGGCCTGGACAGCCTTCTGAAGATGCCCACTGGCTGTGGGGAACAGAACATGATGGGACTAGCTCCTGATGTCTACATCTCCAACTACCTTGTCAGTGCCAAGAAATATGACGCCAAAATTGAACAGAAGGTCATTCCATTCATGGAGGAAGGTAATCATCAAGCTACAATAAGTTCGTTTGAGTCACTGCAAATATGCTGAAAAAGTTGAAAATAATACAATATTGTCATGAAATAGTCTGGATTACTGAAGAACATTATCTAATTGGAAATAATATGAAGAAATGTAAATCAAAGATATTCATTTGCATTGATTCATTTATCGAGGAAAAATAGTCCAATATTGATAAGTTTGACATAATGTGAATATCTTAAAGACTCATCGGCATCTGTTAATTTTTCTCAGGTTTCCAGCGTGAGTTGAGCTACCAACACAATGATGGCTCCTACTCCATCTGGGGGAACAGCGACTACTACGGAAGCACCTGGTAGGTGCAGTCTAAAGCTAAGAATTTGATTTAAATATATTTCTGAAAGGCACGTATTTTGCAGAATGTAAGGTAAATGTAAGTTGACTGGACATTTTGTTCATTTCTTTCAGGCTGACAGCATTTGTTGTGAAAACTTTCATCCAGGCTCGTCAGTATGTCTACATTGATGACCAAATCATTGCCCGTGCTGCCAACTGGCTTATGGGCAGGCAAAACACCAATGGTGACTTCCATGAGAACGGTTACGTGCACAGCTCTAGCCTACAGGTAAGTTTACAAATAGGAATACCCTTGCAACGCAGACGTAGGTGGTGAGAAAATGTATATTTCTTTCAAGGTTCTTTTGATTTTATAACCGTGAACTCTCAGGTCACATGTGAAAGGTTTATCGGGGACTGTTTTTCATTCATGCACAACTGAGGAGTCTTCATCGAGATTTCTAATTACTTAACTAAGTAAGCCCATCATGTTAACTATGCATTCGTCTAGTAAATTTATCTACACCCCCTTCACTTTTTTCCAAACGTCAACGTAAACGATTGCACCATCAGATCAGGAGAGCTGAACATTCCTTACACAATTCATACCACTATTCCGTGACCACTTTTCCTTTCTTCAACAAGAGATGCCAATTTAACCACTCTGATCTAAATTTTCCATTTGCCAAATAATTCCTAGAAAGTATGTTTATTTTGCAACTGTCATACCTGTCTGGTAAACTGTTATTTCTTTATATATAACACATTTAAATTGTTAACGTGGGATTAAGCTGATGATCATCACGTCTCTATTGTAGGGAGGATCTGGACACGGATACGCCCTGACAGCATTTGTTCTGGATGCTCTGCTTGAAGTCCGCGGTTTGGAAGGGGTACGTTTCAGCCTTTCTGATTTTTCTTTTCATTCTCGAACCGCCAATAGTTCCCTTGTGGTCACATTTAAACTACCTAATATTAATTTGTCATGTATGCATTTTCTTCAGGTGAATGCTCACAACTTGAACGACACTTTGCTCCGCGCCAGTGCCTTCCTTGAGTTCAACATTATACGGTTTGATGATGCCTACACTATCGCAATCGCTACCCATGCCCTAACCAAAGCAGGTAGCATTTTTGCTGAAGATGCCTTCAAGAAACTTGAACATGTTTCGAAAACCAAAGGTAATTGGGCTCAGTAGTAACTAGAGCATGTCAAAAACCGAAATATGCATATGTGTGCAGTCTTGTAAAGCCTCAATGGATCAATTACCCATATAATCTCCCGCTTCCTTATCAAAATACCAAGCTTATTAAGTGTCATATCATAAACACCTAAACCTTAAATAAAGAATTCACTGCTAAAATCAATTTGTAACCTCCACAGACGACATGATGTTCTGGGAGAGATACACCCACACCAGATCCAGCTACTGGAGACCATATCACCAATACGCTGACGCCATCGACATTGAGACAACAGGCTACGCTCTGAAGACATATGCTCTCAGGAAGGACTTTGTCAAAGGCCTGTCTGTCATGAAATGGCTCATTTCCACCAGGAATCCCAATGGTGGCTTCGTTTCCACTCAGGTATAGCAAACATGATTTCATTTAAATGAAAAAAGAGAAGAATATGATAAATGACATAGTACACAGTATTATGTGAACGCAGCATGAATTAACTTAAATTCACCATTCTTTTTCTATGATTTCATTTACAAAGTAATAATGTTTTGTGCATATAATTTCCAGGATACTGTTGTTGCTCTCGACGCCCTTTCTGCATTTGCCACCGTCATCAACTCAGATTCCTTCAAAATCAGCGCCGATGTCAGTTCTGGGAAATTCAGTAAACATTTTGAAATCAATGCCAAGAACGCCCTTGACCTTCAAGCTACTGATGTAAGTTATGACATTATTTAACATCAATACCATGCAACATACTGTAACTTCAAAATCATGGTAACATTATTCTGTCATTAAAGAATCTTTTTAACGTGGTAAATGCTTTCACAATTTACAAAGCCATTTTCCTCTTTCAGGCCAGTGAATTCACTGGTACTTTCAACGTAAATGCCCAAGGACACGGAGTCGGATACCTTGAGGTTTGTATCTTGGATAACACTTTTCTATACCATTTAGCTGTAAAAATAAGCTTAACGTTTGATGACTTAACCAACAGAGTTTTCCATCTGCCCATGGGCGCCCGATGACTCACTTGATTAGTGTCCAATGAAGCTTGTACCAAAATCAGAGCACCCGAATCCTTGATCATTACTTCATTTCTGGATTCATCTTTCTCATTATATTCATCTAAAAAGCTCATTGGAACGTTTGATTATTTTAAACAGGTTTGAAATCATGACAGGATATTTCGTTTTCCACAGATTGCATCTTTCTTCAACGTTGAAAAGCCAGTAGAGGAGCAATACTTTGATATCAGCCAAGACATAGAGATCGAGACACTGAACATGTACACACTCAGGGCCTGTGTCAGGTACGGACATTATGTGAAAGCTTTTGATGGAGGGTTGGTTTGGGTGAGATACAATGGCCATAACCATCATTTAGGAGTGTTTCTCATCAGTAATAGCAATTATTTTGTTGAGCCTATGCCTGTTTGACCCTGCAAACTGCAGCCCTACTGTCTCAAAATGCCTATCTCCTCTCACTCATTGCTAATTGATTTACCGAGGGATTGTACTTCTGATAGGTGGATGTTGCCTGTTATATCTGCATATATATCCTTAGATTACATCGTTCGATTCATTAGACAAATCTGCATATATTCTTACACGAAAAACATGCATTTAAACATTTGTTTTCAACACTAATATATCATTTTTGTGTTGTTCTTTATTCAACAGTTACACCAAATCGAGAACTAACAACATGGCCGTAGTCGAGATCACCGTCCCATCAGGCTTTGAACCGGATATGGAGTCACTGAATGACATCCGCAACTTACAGCGATCCGAACTGCTGGGCAAGAACTTTGTCTTCTACTTCAGCCATGTTAGTAACCATAATTTTGTTTGTAGTTAAATATTATAAAATGCAATTGGCGTCAAATGTGCTTTGATATGATATATACATATTCGTTTTACACATACAGTGATGTTCTACAAAGGGTTGCCTGAACAAGTTTCATGACTCACATTCAACCAACAGGATTCCTAGAATCTAATAACTTGATGAAGATCAAATTGTTGACAACTAATATCTGTTTTGAACTGCAGTATTTCAAGAATTATGTAATATGTTTCCAGCTTGAAAGCAGCGAAACGTGCATCAGGTTCACCGGCAGAAGGAATGGTCTGGTTGCTAAGCTACAGGCGTCGCCCATCCATGTCTTTGACTATTATGAGCCAAGTATGTTACACATATTTCTAATTTGATTCTAATCGGTGATGCATCGATAAGGTCACTGAATATGGCTTGTCATCATATTAGCAGTGTTGTCAAACGTCACACCCTTACAGGCTTGATTGTTATATCTTTGATATGTTTACTATTACATATTAATCCCGTGTATGGATGATGATAATGATGACGGTGGTACTCTCATCTTCAGCACACCAGGCTGTGGCGTTCTACAAACCACAGACCCTACATGATGCCACTGTGTGTGAAATCTGTGCCAACTGTTGCCAAAAGATAGTCCAGGTATGTAACTGTTGGTGATATGTTCTATGGCAGAGGTGAAATTTAACGTTTCACTATTTGAGAGTTAAAGTTTAACTAAAAAAAACCCTTAAAACAGATGTGTCTAAGTACCCAGTTAATTGACAGATTGCTTAATATTTAATTGATTAGAGGTCAGTGTGATCTATCCAATTTACATGTTAATTGCATTTAGTGGTATGTTTAAAACTATCAGCAACAATATGTAACGATATACAATTCTTTCTATGTTTTTCTTTCAGTCACACTAGACAAAACCACAGCATCATTTTGACTGACATGGTATGCCGCCAAAGCCTAAACTTTGTACAGTTGTTATCAAACACAATCGAATAAACTGTCAATCAATGATCAAGTATTTCTTGTTGTTTAACGACTAGGACTGCGAAACTATGAGCATCAGATGTAGTAAAGACTTAGACTCAACATTTTCTGACCGGTGGACGGTAGAATATGTGTTAGTATTGAGTTTGCCCACGAATCTGTTCTAAACCATCACAGTGTGCATCAAGCTGCTTCTTAGATATAGAAGCACAGAAAGCCTTCCATAGCTGTTGTAAAGTCATACACAGTTAAAAACGTCAAGTCCAGAGGATACTCAGATTCCATTAGGGGTAAAAGACAAATATCGATCACAATTACATGAATCAATCACTTAAAATCAGTGCTAACACCAGGTCAGGGTAAGCATGTAATTCCGCTAGAACCCGGCTTTTGCAGTCACACAGTCCCTCCCAGATACGGTACTCTCACACTGGCGTCGTCTATAATGATGATGGGGCATCTATTCTCACGCGGTTGATCTAGAAGGCGATGTGCTTACCTACATTTTGTTCCTCTGTACTCTAGTCTATCAAATTACATCAAGGTGACATCCAGGTCCAGATGCCTGCATGTTAATTTGTTTCATAACATGGTTTGATGTTAAACGCCGCACTCAGCAATATTCCAGATATATGGCGGCGGTCTGTAAATAATCGAGTCTGGACCAGTCAATCCAGTGATCAACAGCATGAGCATCGACCTGCGCAATTGGGATACGATGAAAGAACACTATAAACAACTTTCTCACATGACAAACAGAATAACTTTACATCATGGGTGGACTGTCAAAAAACGTGGTTTAGCTACATTTCAAAGTACAGGTTGATTCAATTGTAGTTGCTAAGGTATGCTTACTGGAAATAATATGTCAAATGATGGATTTCCTCATATCGCAGATTCACTTGGGATTGAACATATAGAAAAGAAACTGGCATCCCTATGGGCGTAAATGGTGCTCCTCTTCCTGCTTGTTCAGTTGTTGTTATGCCCATGAATAATCAAAGAATAAAGTTTCTTCCATTTGAGTATTTGATATAATTATATAAAGCTAAATAATGCCAATTTGTTTCCAACTATTTACCCACCTGTGAATAAAATTAAAGTGATACATATGACGTGCATAGTGCAAAGAGGTAACGTCTGTGTTATTTCTAGAAAATGGGCACCCTTCTGCATTAATCCCATCGTTACAGTGGCCCCTCTAAGGAAAATCGAACACATTTGGGGCGGGTGGGGTAGATTGGTGGTTGAAGCGTTCGCTCATCAAGCCGATTTCCCACATGGGTACATTGTGTGAAGCCCACCTGGTGTGCCCCGCCGTGATATGGCTGGAATATTGCTAAAAGCGTCGTAAAACAATACTCACTCACTCGAACACATTTGCGAATTTATTGAAGAAATGCAAATGATTAGTCCGCGTGTGTCATTCAACAAAATCATCTGAACAGGTAACGGCTTGTGTAAATACAGGTGCCAAGCTTATTACACGATGTTCACCTTACACCGTTCCTCTAAGAACTGCATTGGCTGACATGGTCTGACTCTACTGTCACTTCAGAAACTCACAAGGCATTGCCAACATAATGGTCAATAAGAACTGCTTGCCAACAACATATGCTGCTGTCATCAGCCATGGCAACAAAGTACGGAAAGAACCAATAGCAGAGCTGGTGCTGTTCTATGGAGTCTGTGGAATGAACTTCCATTAGGAGTCAGGAGATAGGATGTCATAAGCAGCTTTCGGTCACCATTCAAAAACATCTTCTTTAAAATGCATACTAATGGTTGCTCTTCATCTAGAAGCATGTGCAAGGGATGTGCTATATAGATCCGATAATTATCATAATAATGTACAATGTACATTATAAGAGGAAATATTGATTCTTTGAAGTCGGTGAGACTGGTTGCAATATTGTCACTATATAGTGGTTTGTTGGGGCATTTCTATATTTATTTGCACGCTATTCAGTATTAAAAGGTATAGTCAGATTTGTATTAAATCACTATGTATCTTACATATGACCGTAACAATTTGTATAACATATTTTTGTTTATCAACGGAAGTTATTGCTCATACTACGCAACGAAGCATGTCAAAATAGCGACTAGACAAAATGGACAATTAGAAATATGAGTCTAATGGTGACAAAATCTTCCCGATATATACAAATTCGAAAACAACTCAAAATCAACCTATCGTTAGAGTATCTTCTGCGAGAGCCATCTGTTTACTTTTGCTGAGATTATCGATAATATCTGATCTTCCAGTATGCCGAAGTTATTGAGTTGCCAAAACATTACCACGTGGCGGTGCGTTTAATACACATCATGTTCGAGGTAGGTTTTTGCAAAGATATGAACGAGAAGATGTCACGTAATAATTGAAATTCTGTCAAGAGACACCAGTTGACAAACATATTTCAGTGTGTGCAAGGTGTTTTTGAAGGAATACAGAGTAGTTTAGGATGTATTGCCAAGACAAACTCACCAATACGGAATCAAAGTCAAACATGATACCATGACAACGGAAACAAAGTACCTCTTTTGTTGCCCAGAACGCCCAAAAGATTAGCAGAATACAGTAGACAATCAAAGGATATACCAGAAAATCCACCAACACAAAGCACATTTACTAACATTGTGGAACTACGATTATATTGTACAAGAGCAGAAATTCTATAAATTTTAAGTGTATAAAACATGTTAGTTTTGCATTTCAGTAGGGGCAACTATAATATTCTCTGCCTTTTTTGAGTGAGTGAGTGAGTGAGTGAGTGAGTGCGTATGGTTTACACCGCTTTTAGTAATATTTCAGCAATTTCGGTGGGATACACACTCCACACTTTCACCACACAAAATGACTGTATTATTACGTATCATCTGGCCGTCAGATTTACACACGTTTAAAGGGGTGTTAAAATAAACGAACATTCAACTCTGCATTTACATGTATTCACAGGTGTGTAAATCTGGCCATTGTTTCCATGTGTTTCCTAACATGTGTAACATATGTAAATGCTGTGATTGTAGGACATGCATTTCAATACCCTTGAAATCTCGTATGACCAGGGTTAGGTTTGTCATATATTTAGTACATGCGTAAAAGGTTGGAAATGGTTAGCACTACTTTAACATGTATTTCAATGGTTCTGTAATGTAACTGTCACATAGGGTTCGTTAGCGCGTCCGACCACGCCATAATGTACTGAGATAATTAGAAACACATGGTGAAGTGATACCCATGACTGAGCACCACTAATAATGTGCGTGTCTTTCTTGACATACACATGGTGTCTGTTTAACAGGTTCAAATATCGGGTCTATGGGCCAGAGCGATATGTATTTTAGGGAGTGTGTGTGTGTGCGAGGGAGAGGGTGTGGCATGGGGTAGGCCTAGGGTGGGGTGGTGGCGGTGGGTCGGTGTTGGGGTACTGATAAGTCTTTCTGACCAGCAGGTAATATCGTTTATACTCTTTGTAATGGAAATTACATAACAGTTTAAATAACTGACCTTAGGTACACTTCTTATATATGCTATACAAGGAGACACTGCTAATTACAATAATATCTACAATCACAGACAGATGTGTTCACACAGACATGAACCGGTAGGTCCCTAATTTTAGTGCTCCCTTGTATGAGTTATCCGACTGATCATAACTGAACAAATTTCATTATCTATACTTTCATAAAAGATGATTACAATGTATTAATGATTCCCGGTGTAAATTACTGTTGTAAATGTGTGAACATGCACATACTTGGTATGACCTCTTTTTGATTCGGAATACAGGTATTATTCCATACGGACGTTTTCTCAAATTTCAATTACCCGACGGAATATACTGTAGACATATTTTGTTTCCACCTCTTGGGTAGACTAAAGAAAATTGTAGTGATTGCAGTTAGCTCATAATTTTCATAATAGACCTATTTTGTTTCCATCTTTTGGGTAGACTATAGAAAACTGTAGTGATTGCAATTAGCTCATAAAGCAGTTTCGATAATTATTGAAAGCTTACTACCTGACAGCATTATGTTGCTCATGCGTTTTCTTTCGTGCTTTTGCTTATTGCTGTCTAATTTGTTATACATTATATAATTATGTTAATCATTTTGGAATCTCAATATCATGGAATATAATGTGTACTTATTAATCTATCAAAGTACCGAAACGTATTATCTGTTTGCTTTACTGTTATTGGGTGAAACTGTTAAAAGTACCTTTGTACAGAATTTCGAGAAAATAGAAACTGAAAATTACTAGATCAATGGAAAACTAAATTGGATAAAGATCGCAAACAATCATTATTTATATTCCACTTTTTAAATTATCAGTGTGCAGATCATGTCACTAACATAAAAACTGAAGGATATATGGTGACAAAACTGGGTTCAATCTTGAATGTATAATAAATCTACCAATGTATATTCTTTAACAGTATCAAGGAATGATGGGGTACGCTCGTGGTTAAAGCGTTCGCCTGTCAGGTCAAAAACCGGTGGTTATTTTCCGACAGAGGCACATTAAGTACTGAAAATATATTATTTTGATAAAAGGCAAAGATCTTAATTTCAATTGAAAAAAAGAGACGGAGTAATTTGGAAGATTCACAGACTAACAACGTCTATATCGGGGCTACAGGAAGCATCTTCAATTATAAAATCATATTCCACAAACATCAGATAAAGGTTTAAATGACAAGCATATTTATTGGTATCTTGCCAAGCTCTGTCCTCTCTCAATGCAGTATAACCAGAGTGCTGTGGTCACTACCTCAGGTGGCCAAATTCAGCCATCCCATATACAGTATTTTCTTACAGACATATATATGGAAAATTAACTTTTACGGGTATGGAAAGAGTTGGGGGGAAACACGTGCAAAGTATTAGTCAGCTGAGATTATCCTTCAAAAACATCATATGTACAACAATCACTTATCATTATGTGCAACCAAAGCATTACAAAAAGGCCATATTTCCAGACAGCATAATACCACCTTGGGCTGGAGTTCCAAATAATTTGA